GCTGGGGAATTCTGGGAGTTGAAGTCCACCCATCTTCAAGTTGCCAAGGTTGAGAAACACTTGCATAGACAGATTTTTCTCCATGACGATTCAGTGTAGGAGAGATATTCAATTTATATGCTACTTCCCATGGGGGAGAGGGGAGAAATTCTCCATTTCACCTCTGATGAATGAGCTAATTTCACATATTTCAGTCAATGCCCAAACTGAAGGCTGGCTGGGGAATTCTGGGAGTTGAAGTCCACACATCTTCAAGTTGCCAAGGTTGAGAAACACTGCTCTGTTGTGTTACACAGTTCTACCCAACCAAAGCATCAATCTTCTAACATTTCTATCTTCCAGCATTAATGGATAGAGAATTCAATCCAGAAGGCAAGGATTGGAACTAATATTGCGCAATGTACTGGGGATGACGGGATGTGCATTAAAATGGTGGAATATACACTATGCAAGTGTGTCTAAGATCAGCAAAATCACCGTTTTACCGCTTTCGTTATAGTAATCGGTGTTTTTTTTTTTAAACTGTTCCATCTAGATCCCTTAAAAAGAGCAGAATGTAAATTATGCCTTTGGTCAGCTTGTATTATAGTCAAATGTACTGTACAATTGCCAAAAAAGGCATAATATTCATTGTCCAGTCTCTGCTTGTTTTAGTTTTCATCACCGTAAAAGTAATCCACGAAATGTCTTTCTTTTCCTGATTGAGCATTTGATGCTGAAAGCGCTAGGGAAGTGCAGAGTCAAACAAAACCACCGGAAAAAAAATCTTGTTTTCTAAGGATGAAGTCTCCATATGATACATCGCTAGATTTCTCATCAGCGCAGAAGCAAATATATGCCAGATACACACATTTGCTTAAAATACACAAGGACTTCAACTACACAGGTCTTAGCTCAGAATTTGGGTCGGTGGGGAAAGAAAATATAATAATCACCACCACAGGAATCATTAGCTTCTGAGAAATTTTCGAACCAGCAATTAGCAGCATCGATCAACCCAGAAACTGAATGGTAGAGAAACTGATTTAGCACTGGTTGGCTAATAGCCTAGTGGATCTCTTCCTTTTTGCACCAATCCAGACACACTTCGTCTGATATATTTTTGCACGGAAAGCTAGCTTGCCCGCCTGGAAACGCCTCTTCCAAGGCGGAAAACATTTTAATCTTGCTTACCATGTCCTTTCCCCTATTCTACAGTATTTGTACGCGTGGGCCACCGGACAGCGAAGGGGCGGTGTTGATGTGTGAAATCTGTACGTGATTTGGGGGGGTTTGGTAAAGCGTAGGGCTGTTGCTAAATTAAGCCGAGTCCATTATCACGTTGGATCGAATGATTCGTTCCTTCATCGGGCTGAGATAAACAGTGCGCCCAGTAGGGAAACCTCTTCTCCTGTGAAAACTGGATTTTTTTTTTTTATAAGTTTCTACTTTGCTTAAAAATAAATAAATAAATAAGTTGATCACAAATTAATTTGGGGGGGAAAGGGCAATTTCTCACTCAGTAAAAGAATCCATCCTTTCGCCCAACCCATGAATAAAGTTAATGCTGATATTCGATACGTCAATAATTGTAGAATACTATTCGGTGGAAGAGCTTTTGGATACTTTCTGCCCAGAAGCCTTGATATTGAATTTATCCTTTTACAATAGTGCTGGGCGAAGCAAGGAACGAGTCTGCCATCTTTAACAACTTTGTGTTTTTAGGAGATTTCTAAATATAAGCCATGAAACTTAGCAACAGCAGATCACTGCCATCTCCACCATGGGGAATTGTCAACAAAATATTCAACACATAGCAATTTGGATGTAACTTTTTTTCCTTCCTTTTTAGGGTCAAAGATTTGGAAAAGCCCCCCACGCTCCTAAATTTCTCTAGCCTTCTGTTCCAGGTGATTATTCTGTAAGTGACTCTATGAATCATGGCTTTTCCTTTTTCAAAGGATCCTGGAAATGTGGTTCATCTAAGCTCCCCTTTCAAAGCTATCTATTGGCAATCAACAACCAAACTAGTTCTGAAGGGCGTATTGTGATTTCAGCAAGTTTACCCAAGTGTTCTGGTCAAGAGTTTACCAACTTCCTTCATCTTGTTCCTTAGTGGCTGGTCAAATCCATTCAATTCTCATCAGAAAGATACCCAAAGCAGAGAATCTGCCAGTATTCACAAGGCAACACAGCCCTACTAGCGGTATCACCTGTTTCCCAAAGCCTCCTTTTCACTGATCATCCAGAAGGTCAAGATGGATGGAAGTTCAGCTCAGAGGCACCGCAAGACATGACCTGGCCAACGAGGCATGATGGAAAACAACACAGCCCAGGTAGGGGCAACCCAAGTGAGGTTGAATGGAGAAGCATGCAGGTCTCTTTTGTCGCTCACACCTTTGTTCGGGTGCGAACTCTTTGGTCTCCCTTCTCTTCCAACAGGAAGGCCTGCTAGAGGCTGAAGTTCACGAACGGATGCCGCAAAAGGTCTTCTGCTGTGGGCCTCCGCTTTTCTTCTACAAAGATCAGCTTGAGAAAGTTGCGGCAGTAGTCCGAGACCCCGTCCGGAAGCTGGGGCTTTGTTGGCTGTGTTGCAATCTTGAAAATGGCAGCCATAGCTTCAAATTCTGCCCACGGTGGTTTCTCAGTCAGCATTTCCACCACGGTACAGCCCAAGCTCCTGCAGAAGAACACGGAGAGGAGAAAAGATTCAAAGAACGGTTCGTTTCTACAGCACTTTTGGAAGGCAAAGGGGACTCCCTCCTCCTTGATTTCCCATCGCATCTACCCTGTAAGGAAAACTGGACTGGGAAAATGGATCTGGGGAACCACACAGTGGAACCCCAAGGAACCACAACATTATGGTAGGAAAAACAGAGGCTGGGTGGTCAAGCCAATGAAGTTGCCAATGCAGAGGGACGCCAGTTAATGAGACCCGGAGGTGCACGCAGGTGCATTTTCATATCTCACAGGTCCATCTTTGAGATGCCTGTCCTCAAAAGCACGTTGTATCATTAGTTACACCTATTCTACATTAAATAGATGTAAAAACATATAGATAAAATGGCTAAGGTGGGACTTGAAAAATCCAGGTGGCCCAACTGACCACAGAGGCTCAAGATTAATCCAGATGTTCAGGAATGGCTGTCGGAAATAGGTGATCTATCTGTCTTGGAAAAGGCAATATTTTTTGCTAAACAGAGGATGCAGCAATATCTGTTACTATGGCAGAATACTGTGATATTTTACAATAATATTTTGTAAATATAATACTATTATATTACAGTAGTGAATTTCTTAGTAAACCAGTGATTATTGATCTATATAAGGTAGATTCCCCCCTTCCTTCCTTCCTTCCTTCCTTCCTTCCTTCC